ATTTAATTTTTGCCATCTTAATCGTATTTTGCTTACTAGATTTTTTGATTATTTTTGCAAGAAGCAAAAAAAACTGGTTTTGTATTACACTTCCCTTCACAGTAATGCTTCGTGTTTCATGTTTTGATAACCGTCGATTTAGTGCTTAAAAGTTATCTTAAAATTAAATTTTTTTGTCTTCTTGCCTAATGTTTGATGGCGTTTCTGTTGAAGGCGAAAGATGGGTAGGAAAGTATGATGAGGAAGAGGAGGAGGAGATGCTAATACTGTTGAAGTATTTTAAAACTGGAGTTTATTATGCAACATTCATCTTGAAATACGGGGGATCAATTGGGTACAATAAGTTTTGTAGCACGGCGAACAGATGGTGACTGAAATACTGGATAACGGAAGTTAAGATCGTGCTGGTTATTAAGCAAATTTCTTTGACACCAGAAATAGGTCGCCGTTTGTTCCACTAAGTTATACTATGACGCTTTTTGCTCTTTGAGCAGCATTTTGCACAAAACTTGTTCACGTCATTACGATTATCAATTTACCTCCTTTTTTTGGTAGTTAAGCTATTATATTATGTTTCTTACTACAATGAACATTGCCAACTGATTCTCTTTAGTTTACTGAGGCTCTAAACTGCAAAATTTCAGTAGAAAAGGTCTTCAGTCATCGGTTTTGTGTGTGTAAAATGCCCAATCTTTGAATTATAAAAGTAGGCGTTTGATGACGAGTTGAAAAAAAAAAAAAGAAAAGAAGAGGAGCCAAATTAAATGTGGTATCTAAATCAGTTACATTAGAAACAAGTAGACTTTTGTGAAAAAGGGCGGAGGTCCGGGCACTAGGACATGTTAGCGAACAACGAAGCGTCAGGCATGCAGAGTTTGTGCAGAGTTTGAGCAACAGGCGGCAAGCAGTGGAGAGATTCGGTGAGTGCTGCAGTGGACTAACAATGACTGCAACTGGTTGAAGGCAAGGGCAGACAGTCAGTGGAGGTGACACTGTTTTGCAATGCGGGGCATTCGGGCATGGCTTGCTAAGCGTTAACTGCTAAGGGGGCGGGGTTTGCTATTGGGAAATGATAGAAAGGAAGGGTTTGGTGATTGCCAATGGAACCAATGATTAGAACGGTGCCCGCATTGTAAATGAGTGCAAAAATTGTGCAACCTGTCGAGCGTCTCAGCTGCTGGGACACTTGCAGTTCGCTGTTTGTTGTTCAGTTGCGGAAAAATACCATTACGCCATGTATGTTTGCAGGAATACAGTCTTAGTTTTTTTTTTTACCGTAATTAATCGGATCAGATCAGTGATGGTGGTTTTTTGGTAGCCGAGGATAAAGAAATCTTTAGAGTACCTGTGCAAATGAAGAGCGGTTATTGAAGAATGACCACTTTGGTGTTGAATATATTGTTGCTCTTTTTTTTTTTTTTTTTTTTTTTTTTTTT